CTTCGCAAAACAGAAAGGAGAATTCTACTGCCTGAGGTTTATAATCCCTAAGTGCGGCCGAAGGCCGGCTACGCAGAAAGGTGTTCTCTGCAAAAGGTGTTCAGCCCCCCCTTCTTTGGCAACACAGAAAGGAGAATTCTACTGCCTGAGGGTTATAATCCCTAAGTGCGGCCGAAGGCCGCCTACGCAGAACGGTGTTCTCTGAAAAGGTGCTCAGCCCCCCTTCTTTGGCAGCACAGAAAGGAGAATTCTACTGCCTGAGGGTTATAATCCCTAAGTGCGGCCAAAGGCCGCCTACGGAGAAAGGTGTTCTCTGCAAAAGGTGTTCAGCCCCCCTTCTTTGGCAGCACAGAAAGGAGAATTCTACTGCCTGAGGGTTATAATCCCTAAGTGCGGCCGAAGGCCGCCTACGCAGAAAGGAATTCTACGCAAAAATACATTTGTTAAGAAGAAAATTTTTTTTATAAAAACTTGTTTTTTCTATTTTCAATTAACTTTTTTATTCTTTTTCTGTTAGTTGGGTCATATTCCACTTCAAACTGCTCAGTTTGCCTAAGAAAATTCTGTGTTTCCCCCTTTTTCAAACGGTTCCCTAGGGGCCTGTGGGAGGAGCCCAAGGGGGGAATACGCCTTTTTAGAAAGCGGGGACTGTCCCCTTTCTAGTGGGGAGGGTTTGGGGGTCTCCGCCCCCTTGACCCTCCGCCCCTACCCTAAAAACGATGTGAGCGCTACTAAACATTTCCCAAATGTGGTTTTGGAGAAAAATCGCTGAATTTTTTTTTTTTAAATTACTTTTTTTAGAAATCAATATTTTTCAACTCTGTTTTTTGATTGTAGAAGTGATTTCGAAGCTCTATATTTGCATACCCGAAAGATTTAAAAATTAACAAAATGGCCGTTTTTGGAAATATCAAAAGACTAAATTTTCTCAAAAACATAATTTTTTATTTTCTTGAATATTTGTTTGTGGTTACTACATAAAAGAGAACTTTCCAATCGGTTGGATACCCG